GAATCTGTTTTATTACAATGATTTTTAATGAAGTTATGAGTAATCAAAATCAGAATGTCCTTTTATTTAATCCGCATGTAACTTGGTAACAAAAAGTCGTAGGAATATTTTTTAAAAACAAACTTTTAGGATAAACTTTAAGCTTTCACATCTTATAGTCGAAAATTTCGTAATAAATATATTCTGTATATAATTTTAAACTCAAAATTTCGCAGAACTTTTTCTCTAACCCAATATATTTCGAAGTGTTCCAATCTCCTTGTTCGATTTCAGTATCCTCTTTGATTTTCGCAATGAGGTGTCTTGATCTGAACATGGATTTGAAATAAATCATAATGATCGATTTGACGATTTAGCAACTTAGCGATTCGCAACTCGGGAGGAAAGGGGGGCTCGGTTTTTCAGGAATCGGTAAACATATTGCCAAATTTGGGCATTGAATTTCCCATAGAAATAATGATCGTATCAAGCTGGAATTTGGCATGAAAGCAACTAAATTTATGTAAATTCAAAAGATCAAATCAATTTTCTATAAATAAATGAGGCTACGGAGTTATTATAATTAATTTATTTCTCAAGTTTTTCATCCTAGTCCGAGTAGTCCTTTCCTAAGCTTCTAATCGGTAGGCGCGCATTAGACTCGTGAAATATGCGATTGGCGCGCGTTTGCTGATATATTTCGGGCTTGTATAAAGTAATCACGATAGCAAAATAGCGAAATTAATTAAAAATATTAACTGCATAACTTAATATTATATGTATGTACGAGGTTTCGTTCGTGAATTCGAACGATGAGTGACAGGTACGTCGTGAGCCGTAATTAATCCGCATTAACTGACGTTCGTTTCAGGCGACTACAAGGATTAAAATATTTTAATTGAATTATTTCATGATGATTTTTACATAGGATAACAATGCGATAAAAACCTCAGCTCGTGGGAATAAATTTCTCGTCTCCGGACAGAGTTATCTCTACCAAGATTTTCGTTGTTTGGCATTGGCACATGCCTCGCGAGTGATATATTTGACTCGCGCTAGCCAATGCATCCGTCACATCCGTATAGAGTAATAGAAAGTAATATAATTATCCAAATATTATTCCAATAAGTTTCGACATGGAATATTCACGCAAAATGTTTAAATTAATGAGTATTTTATACAGATGATGTGAAACCAAATAGTAAAAGAAAATATAGCGTAGGAAAAAACAATTTTACTTATATAAACGGCAGGACATAACTGTCATGAAACATGCCGGAATAAATTCCAATCAAAATTATTTCGTTTTTTCTCGAAAACACATATATAATAAATATAGGGAATAATTGAATAATTTTGATCGGAATCTATTCTGATCTGTTTCATGATAGGTATTATTCAGTTTTTGTTACCAAGATTTTATTCTGTTTTTGCTACTATCTGCTAGCATAGCATATATGGTATAAGGTGTCCCAAAAAGTTCGAGACACCTGAATATTTTGGAAAATATAAATTTTACAGAAAAATGTTTCAGACAAATGTTATATTCAAAAAGACCTATTTATTGACCTTATCAGTTTGACGTTGGAATCAAAAGTAGGGTGTTTCGTTTTAAAAAATCAATGTGACCTTGATCTAACCTTGATCTAACCTTGACGACGCTATCCAAGGCCAAATTGATAAGATCAGTAAATAGACCCTACAACTTTTGTCTGAAACACTTCTGTAAAACTTATATTTTCCGAGATATTCAGATGTCTCAACCTTTTTGGGACATTCTGTATGTCTTGCAGGCTTTGTCATATTTCTGACAGCAATTTGCTGATAGTGTTGGATAATATACAAACCTTGTGTACAATTTATTGCCTTTTTGTAATCAAAAATTGATAGTTGGCTTTGCTCAAAATCTGTTTTTGCAGGCTTTGCTATCAGAGTAGATATATTCACTATGCGAAATGTTCCATTATGAATGCGACATAAGTCACAATGAGAAAAAAAGGTAGTAATTCAAAATTCAGTTTTATATAATTAAATTCTAAAGACGGTGTTCATAATCCGTTCTTATTTTAAGATCGTCTTAAATAATGCTTTAAGATATTAATATGGCTATTTGATTGATTCACGAGTTCTTAAGATTGTACTTAAGACGGTCTTAAGTATAAGATTCGATTATGAATACCGTACTAAATATTTTTGCGTATCTCTTATAAGAAATTGATATTCCGTATTTCAATATCTATAAATTCATTGGAATAAAGAAAATGTTTTCTGCGGAAATTACATTATTGTTCTGGGAAACATTACTCTATTTAATTTATGTATCAGAAAATATTAGCAAATCTTCCAATTAATTTCATTGTTTGCCTGATGTTATTTCGCAGATACTCGGTACCTTGCGACAAATCGCTTGACAAGCTCAAGTGTCGATGTGGAACGCCGCCCAGGATCTGTGCGAGTCCCGCGGACCGTGGCGACAGCCTGGCAACAAGAGAGCGGCCACAGGAAGCCGAAATGGATCTTACTTTGAAAACCCATCATCCCGCATCCGTTAGGCATTCGTTATTTCATCATTTATCAAGCAATCATCAGCAGCAGGATATTGTGCAAACCATGGACGAGCCTTTGGATGTCACTCTCAACAGCAGCAAGAATAACTAAGAGACATTCCTTACGATTATTCGCAAAATTTGACTTTTTAAAATCTCTGCAGACGTACAATTCTACAGCATAACACATAATAGAAAAGCAAAACACGCTCACAAATACACACATCATTTTTGTATTTACATGTTTTTAAAATCATTTAAAAAATTTTCGTCCTTTCATCTATAAATTAAAATTTTTTAAATTTTCTAATAGAAATATTAATTTAATTACATAATAATTTAATTTAATTTTAATTGCATGCGCGTAAATTCATATATTTAAGAGTTATATCCTTTTCAGACAGTCATCAGGAATGATCAATGAATAATCAATCGTTAATCAATTTCTAATCGTTGTATCACAGAAGGATATTGACATCTAATGTGACACTAAAAGAAAGATATACGAGGTCTGTTCAAAAAGTATCTCGAATTTTGAATTTCCGCGGGTTACGTATATTCGATTTTCGATTTTTTTGTGGCGTTATGTTGGTACTCATGTCTCTCACTTATGCCGACAAGTTCGGCCATTTTGAATGTTCAGTTAATTTTTGACAGCTGCTTTGCTTGCACGTGTTTTGGCTCGTCTTCGATTTTT